CTAAGTGAGTTTTTTTGAAAAGTGAAATTTTTTTGTTTCAAATTAAAATTGGCAGTATAAGAGTAGTGGTAAGTATTAATATATTCATACATATATACTCTTAGTCTTTTATCTACATAGTTTTTTGTGTGTATTAAATCCTTAATAAAAAAAATTTAAAAGCAATGGATTCTGCGCTTAACGAAAATCAAACCATTGCAAGCAGAATCTCTGCTCTGTATGAGGAAATAAAAAATTTTAGGGGGCAAAATATTGAAGAGGGACAGATCCAACGTTGGAGGGGTGTAGTAACCGATCTGTCTAGGCAATTTGAGGAGAACGAGTGTATCCTCAAAGAGGCCTCTTCAACCCTAAAGAGAAACCCTTATTTTAAAGATAACCATGCAGAGCAAATTAGGGGATTTTTCAATAATACCTCAACTCTAATTTTGACCATGGAAATGGAAGCTAAAGCACTAAGAGATAGTTTGCAAGCAGCGGGAGTGATAGCCTCACGACCAGCACCTCAGCCACCTACATCTAGTCACACCTTAGGTTCAATCGCTACAGCTCCCATGATTTCAAAATCAGAACGGCAATTAAAGTTCGTTTTAGAAGATCTTAGCAAGACTATTGACAAATTTTTGGGAAATAAGATTCCAAAAGTCTTCCTTCTGGAAAGTGCCAAAGAAGCTAAAATGATGTATCGCAATTATTTAGGAGAATGTGACGAGAATTGTTTAGAAGATTTATTTCTCAACGTAAGTTTTAAACTCGATGAGGCTTTGGACTTCGCTCCTGAAGATAAAAAATCGCAGAATGAAAATCTGCCCTACACACTGCCAAAAATAGATATTCCGGTATTCTCTGGAGACTATATTCAGTAGAACACGTTTAGAGAATTGTTTTCCCAATTAATAGGTTCAGCCAGTATCTCGGATACACAGAAAATGATTTGCTTGAAATCAAAGCTAAGAGGGGAAGCGGCAATGACGATCGCGAACCTACCAGCAAATGCAGAAAACTATCTAATTGCTTGGAACCTCTTGGATAATAAATATACCAACTTGAGAGCGCAAACTGCCATTCATTTTTCGAACATAATGGGGGCACCCTATACGACTGAAAATCTAGAAAGTGTAAAACGATTGAAAGAAGTGATTGAGGAAAATTTGCAAGCTCTAAAAGCAACAAAATTGAGTTCTGAAAGTATACTGCAAGGCCTTTTAAGTTTCATTTTAGTACGAAAAATGAGTAATGATTTAAGATTGAAGTATGAAACTTCACTTCAGAACTCACGAGAAATACCCATTGTTGACTCATTGGTGAAATTTTTAAATCATGAGTTTTATGCACTGCAAGCAGTACAAAAATCATCAAAAAAGGATGGGTCATCCAAATGGGATGACCATATTAAAGAATTGGCAAACAAAAAGGAAATCGAATGCATCATGGGATGTAATAATCGACATTTCCTTTTTCAATGCACAAAATTTAAAGACCTTACCATTAAAGAAAAATGGGAAAAGGTTAGAAAAAATAACTTATGCTCGATATGTTTAAAAAATGGACATTCGAGTAAAAATTGCAATGGGTATAATTGTCGTATATGTAATGAAGGTCATAGCACATTCTTACACAAAGTTAGTAATGAAAAAGGTGCAGTGACAAAAAGTACCATTAAGCAAGGATGCGAAAATTCAGAAAAATGCATTTTGTTAGCTACAGCGGTTGTTTATATCCAAGATGCCAAAGGCAAATGGATCAAAGGCAGAGCGCTTCTTGATAGCGGCTCTCAAGTAAATTTGATGTCAAAATCGTTCCTAAAGAAATTAAGACTTAAGGGCGAAGCAATTAAATCGGCAGCGATAGAAGGTGTTGGCAAAACACGTTAAAAAATTGAAGAACGGGTAAATATAAAAATTAAGTCCAGAATGCATATGAGCAATTTCGAAACAAATCTAGACGTACTAATAGCGCAGGAATTAATGTCCAAATTGCCGGCAGAAGAAGCCATTATTAAAAAAGATTCCAAATAACATTGAATTAGCTGATCCAAATTTGAATGTTCCTAAGGAAGTGGACATATTAATAGGTTACGAATTAACCTATGGGGATCTCTTTGAAGGAGAAAAAATTTCATTGAATGAAAATAATTTAATAGCCCACAAAACCAAATTGGGTTGGGTTATTACAGGAGCTGCAATGATTAATAGAGCCCCATACATTTGCAGTTTGGCCTCTTTTTCCGAGCCCACAATAGAAAACCAAATAAAACAGTTTTGGGAAATTGAGGAAGATATGGAAAAAGACAAACAATTTTCAAAGGAGGAGGAAGACTGTCAAACTATTTTTACAAAAACCACAACCAGAAAAGTGGATGGGAAGTTCGGAGTAAACCTCCCCTTTAAAGGAGACATTGAACAATTAGGAAATTCAGAGATTACTGCTAAAAGAAGGTTCTTAGCTATGGAAAAGAAATTGGAGAAAAACTATGAAGTAAAGTCACAGTATCATGAATTTATGAAGGAGTATATAAAATTAAATCAAATGGAGGCTCTAGCCACTCCAAACCAACTTCAGTTCAAATGTTATTTACCTCATCATTATGTACTGAAGCCAGATAGCACTTCTACAAAATTGAGAGTAGTTTTTGATGCATCTGCAAAAACTACTACAAATATATCATTAAATAATTTATTACATACGGGGCCAAGGCTACAAGATGATTTATTTGATATTCTGATGCGTTTCAGAAAACACAAATTTGTAATATCAGCAGACATTGAGAAAATGTTCAGACAAATTTGGGTAAACGAAGAACATCAAAATTTCCAACTAATTTACTGGAGGTGGAAGCCATCGGAGGCCCTAAAGACATACAGATTAAAAACTGTTACTTATGGCACTGCGAGTGCACCTTACTTAGCAGTAAAATGTCTACAAACAGCAGCAGAAGATAATAAAGATAAATTTCCAACAGCTTCACAATGCATTCAGTCAGACTTTTATATGGACGATTTGATGACGGGTTGTGATAATCTAACTGAGCTAAAAAATATGCAGCAACAAATAATTCATATATTAAATTCATATGGATTCAAATTGAGAAAATGGTGTGCTAATCATCCTAGTTTGTTGAACGAAATTCCTAGCGAAGATCGAGAAATTAAATTAGATATAACATCTAATAAAGCTGAGAATATAAAAGCCCTAGGAATCGCTTGGAATCCAGCTAAAGATGACATCTCAATAAAATCTTATTTAAAAACTGACTACAAAATTACAAAGCGCCAAATACTTTCTGATATTGCGAAACTATTTGATCCTTTAGGTCTTTTGAGTCCAGTTGTAGTGGTGGCAAAATTGATACTACAACAAATATGGAAAGAAAAAAATCGACTGGGATCAAGCCGTTACAGGAGAAACCATGCGATCCTGGGTACATTTAAGAAATCAAATGAAATTATTGAATGAAATAAATCTTCCCAGATACGCATTATTACCTGATGCAAAAGAAATAGAATTACACGGATACTCAGATGCATCCATGAGAGCCTATGGCGCTGTGGTATATGTAAAATCAGTAGACAAATCGGGAAATATTAAAATAAATCTATTAGCTTCCAAATCGAAAGTCGCCCCATTAAAAATTCAGACGTTACCTCGATTAGAACTATGTGATGCGGTACTGTTAGTAAAATTAATGGAAAAAGTATCAAAAGCACTTAATTTAAAAGACAAGCATATTTATTATACGGATTCAACAATCGTCCTTAGTTGGCTACAATTAGATCCTGCAAAATTGCAAATATTTGTGTCGAATAGGGTAAACTTTATTCAGGTGCAAACCAAAGGGCGGCAATGGAGACATATTGACACAAAATCAAACCCAGCTGATTTAATAACAAGAGGGTTATATCCAGAAGAAATAATTAATAATAGTCTGTGGTTTAATGGACCAATGCACTTAGCTAACATGGAGTCATACAGAAAAAAAATTGTCACAAAGCCTTTAACATCGCTTCCAGATATAAAGAAAACTGCTATAACAGCAGGTGTTTTGGTAAGGAATTGCTCTTTAATTGATTCAATTGACCACAAAAATAATTTTGAATTCTTATTAAATGTGGTTGCTTTGCTTATCAAATTTAAAGATATTACATTAAAGCGTTCTAAGAAAGAACTCGAAATTCAGAATCACTTATATTATCGAAAAGAAGCTTTGAATTTTATTTTGAAATATATACAAACTAAATATTTTAACAAAGAACTAAGTCTCCTTTCTGGTAATAAAAATTTACAAAAGAGCTCGAAGCTGATAACTCTATCACCATTTTTGGACAAAAATGGCATCATTAGAGTTGGAGGACGTCTACAAGAAGGCAATATTCCAGAAGAAGCAAAACATCCTGCAGTACTTCCATATGAAGACACTTTAGTTAAAATTTTGGTGGAGGGAATCCATCAAAAACATTTACATATAGGACCGCAAGGCCTTCTCGCTATAGTTAGGCAGAAGTTTTGGCCTTTAAGGGGCAGGCAACTCACAAAAAGAATTGTTAACAATTGCTATAGATGCTTCAGGGCAAATCCTCGTCCCCTTTTTCAAATCATGGGTAATTTACCAGCAGATAGAGTAAGATGCACCAGGCCCTTCTTGAATACTGGGGTTGATTTCTTGGGTCCTATACAAATTCACCACAAAATAAGAGGCAAACGAGTAGATAAAGCCTATGTGTGTGTATTTGTGTGTTTCAGCACAAAGGCAGTTCACCTAGAAGTGGTATCAGGTCTAAGCTCAGCACTCCGACAACGGAACAAATTTCATTGGGGCAGCAAATAGTTTACATGAAATTTATATATTATTTCAAAAGGAGCAACTCGGAAAAGAAGTCTCCTCGTTCTGTGCTGTACACAGCATTAATTGGGTGAATATACCAGCTCGATCTCCACACGTAGGAGGGTTATGGGAAGCTGCTGTTAAATCGGTTAAGAAGCATTTTCACTGAGTAGTTGAAGGCACATTGACCTTTGAAGAGATGTGCACACTCATGACCCAGATAGAAGCAGTATTGAATTCACGACCTCTAACACCATTATCGGAGGATCCGAATGACTTCCAGGTTTTAACTCCAAGTCATTTTCTTATAGGGGAGACTTTAACCACACTTGCAGACAGTAGTGAAAACCATTGTTATCACGGGGTGCGGGACCACTGGAAAGCAGTGCAAAGAAATTCAAAGGAATTTTGGAAGCGCTGGTCACTGGAGTACCTAAGCGAACTTCAGAAAAGAGTCAAGTGGCAAAGGCCACAAGATAACTTACCCCAAGGGAGTTTAGTTCTCCTTAAGGAAGAAAATCTTCCAACAATGACTTGGAGAAGGGGCAGGGTTGAGAACCTCATCATCGGAAAAGATGGAAAATGCAGGATGGTAGACGTAAGGACCAGCACTGGAATGACAAAAAGATCAATAACCAATGTTTGTCCTTTTCCTACGGAAACGGAAAGAAATATAAGTAAAAATGAGGAATCCCATAAGAATAGGAATGTAAGGCATAAAAATAAAAATGTTCTAATGACGATGTTAACCTTTTTATTAGTACTACCACTCTACAATTGTCAAGTAATTATAGAAAAATTTAGGGACAAGTCAGGGATATTAATAGAGAGGCAAGACAGTTTGGGTTTGACGAAGACATCATGGGAAATAATCATCCACGTGAACATGACGGATTATCAGCACCAAATACAGCTTCTAATGGGAACACCCTCGGCTCTACAAAAACTCGCCAAGCTACTGGACAAGGGAGACTCAGAATCTCAAAAGGTACCCAGCAAAAAATCGGTAATCGCTTTTACTGGTAACGTGTTCTAGAAGGCATAGCGTTATAATGCCTTCGAATTTTTTCGCTTCTTTTAGGCATTGCCAGTAATGCAAAGTAGAATGTGCTAGAATATTTTATTTATCTCGCTTCTTCGTTTCATTTCGGGGAATGCAAAGTAGAATGTCCTATAATATTTATTTTTTAATTCGTTTCTTTGCTTAATTTCCGGGAATGCAAAGTAGAATGTCCTACAATATTTTATTTGTTTCGCTTCTTTGCGTCATTTCAGGTAATGCAAAGTAGAATGTCCTACAATATTTTATTCGTTTCGCTTCTTTGCTTCATTTCGGGGAATGCAAAGTAGAATGTCCTACAATATTTTATTTGTTTCGCTTCTTTGCTTCATTTCGGGGAATGCAAAGTAGAATGCTGCATCGTAGTCAGCTGAAAAATGGAATGAATATCCAAAAATTCTTTTTCTATCGTTACTTTCTGTGGAAATTTGTCTCGCATAAAAATCATGTTTTGCTTTGTTCAATTTGCAGCGAAGTTGAAGTCAGTCAATGAAGTGACGTACAAGAGTGAGGAAGTACAATTTTAAGCTTAATTAAATATGCATGTATGTACATACCGATTTTAAAGAAAATCTAAATACCTAAATACATACATATGTACGCTGATTTATAAAAATTTTAATTAATTTTAACCTTTTAAGACATTTTCTGATTTCAATTTAATATAAATAAGTATGTACTTATCTAGGCATTCTACAGTAGTTTCTCTGTAAGGCATTCTTTGTTCGCTTCTCTGGATTCTGTTTATCCATGCGTTCTCCCTTCGTTTGAAGGTAATGCTGCGGGTAAGGGCTTACCTCCAATGACATGCCCATGTTAAAATAAGGCCTTCTTGAAGCGAAACGGTAAGCGATTCCCATCGCCTAGCTCGTTTCCACTTTCGTTTCTGTGGTAATCGTGTTTTTTGCTGGGTAGTTGAGACCTTAGTTAATCAGGTCATTCATCGCATTAAAGAAGTCAACCAAAAGGATGCATTGATGAGATTTAATGGAAGAAATAGAGCATCTAGGTCTATACTGCCATTCGTTGGAAGCGTGTATCATTCAGTGTTTGGTCTAATGGATGAAGAACACGCAGATGAATTGGTGGCGACAATAAAAAGGACCCATAAAAATGAAGAATACTTGCTTAAGCTATACCAGAATCAATCCTCCATTGAAGACATAACGCAAGAGGTTTTGAAGAAAAAAAATGAAGTTGTTCGAAATAATTTTAACCAAATATCGGACTCCATACAAATAATAAAGAAAGCGGCTGAAAATGAATTAGCAATGGAAGGCTTTCAAAACTATATAGCAAGCATTAACATTGCAATAGAGTCAATAGAGCAACTGCAAGGAGATATTACGGATTTGATTTGGAACTCAAAGGGAAATTTCATGAAAAGGATTTTACCTATCGACAGATTCCAAACCCAAATAGCAACAATTACGGCAAATTTAAATGATGACTTACAATTGCCAGATACCGACCCGTTTGAGCTATCAAAAATATCCCGGGTCACAGCCACTATAAACCAAGGCTTCTGTTTAGTGCGAATTCAAATACCACTTATACAAAGCCAACAGCTACAGTTATTTGCATTGACCAGTTATCCGATTCTGCACGACGGCTACTTCGTGAGCTTTAAACTCGCATATGAATATCTGGTAGTAAATAAGGAGAAATCAATGTATAGTATAGCCTGACAGAAACTAAATATTCGTATTGCCAGAAAGTGAGAAGAATCACGCTGTGTCCCCAAATTGGACCACTCTACAATGTAAGAAAGGACCAGTCGTGCGAACTAGAGCTATTCTTTAATTCGAAGCAATTACCATTATCATGTGTGGTGAATATAATGCCTCTGCAAGAAGTTTGGTTGCAGCTTAAATCCTCAAATAGCTGGCTGTACTCCGTCCCTGAAGACACAAAGGCAGAAGTCAGTTGCGGCAGCTCTTATACGGCACATATTTTAGTTGAGCAAGGCATTGTAAAACTGCAACCTGGCTGCCACTTAACAACCGCGATAGTAAGCGTTTGGGCACACAAGGCACCAACCACTGTTATTCAGTACAATATGCCCCCAATTAATATGAGCAGGAGTTTACCGCTCATGAAGCACATTACTATAAAAGGGACTATGTTGACATACTCGATTCCGGACATTCCGCGGCCACCAGCCATTGTTGATTTCTCAGAAGACATCGATTTCCACCACCTGATGCACTACAGCTCGAATATATCAACCTGGATCATTATCGCAGGAGTCATCATGTGGTCTCTCAACACGATATCTTCCCGCTGCTCTGGCCCTTAGATAATAGAATAGTCGATAAGAATAAATAAGTACATAAATATAAGTACAGTAGGTTGAATATTGAGTGGATTCCTCACAACTCCTATTTGAATAAGAAATAGTTCACCTTTTTTGAAAGTAAATACTTTCAACGTGGGCAATATGTTAAGTCTTGTTGCACAAGTCTTAAGATTAGTTACGCACACTCATAGGGCACACATTTAGGATGCGCATGTCCTCTGCATGTGGTAACGATTGTAAGGCCGATAAGTAGAACAATAGAAAGTAGCAATTGTGCGCACGTGCAACGGCATTGTACACATACATACATAGTGCACATGCGCACAACATGACTTAAGGGTTGTTTAGTTGGCAATTATAGACATTACAATTCAGTGCCAGGGTGTATGGGAATAGTCACGTATGCATTTCTTAAATGTTATGAAATGCGATTGGCTTAAAATGCAAGTGAAACCGTATACTATTTTTATTACTTCCTGGCACTGTCGGTTTAAGTGTTTTTCTAGATAAGTTATACATACCTACTACATGTGTAGTGCAACACACATGTTTTAGATATACTATGGTTAGGGTAAGAATTGTGTATGTGTAGGTTAAGAGTTTTTTGTTATAAATAAAGGCTCTGGGACACCAGAGCGTCAGTTATCTACCAAACCACCGCGTAAACAAATATGTTCTCCTGCCGGCATAAGAACCTGTGACCTCATGAAAGCTTACAAATAATCGCACGCTTCTCTGCACACTCAGCTACTGTCGAATACGTATATGTACATGTTTTCAAATGTTCAGTTTGAGCAAATATTTTAAAATTATTGTTTTCAAATAACGTGATATTTTTCCGTAGTTTTACCAAAAAAAAATACAAAGGTTCACAAGCACGAAATGGCAATACCGCTCAATAATATTTGTATATTTGTCACTGGCATTTGTCATCAAGTGGCAAATCACATATTTGGTCATTTGCGTAATTTTTATTTGGCTTATGTAGCAGCATTGCGTTCACACGATTTGGCCGCCAGGGTTGTTTTTCATTTGCCACAAGAAGACGAATATTTGGCTTCTCTGATAAATGACAAAAGTAATTTAGCGTTCACATGATTTGTCTATGAATTTAACAAATTTTTAGCCAAATGTACAAATCGTGTGATCCCAGCTTAAGAGAAAGCGAACTACTGTGTTTCGATCCATTACAGAACTTTACCATCATTTGCAGAGGCAGTCGAAATAGAAATATCTTTTGACTCGTTTATTGTGAACAAAACAGGAGATATTTTAGAATTATAAAAAGTTGTTTATCAATACACTAATATATTTTATATATGTATTAACCTACTTTGTAGTTTTTGGATATTTATATTAAATAAAAATAAATGAAAAAACAAAATGATGTTATATATCTAAGAAAACGTATATATAAAAGAAAACATTTATCATTATTATTAGATGTGTAGGAAGTCCTAAAAGAATAAATAATGGTTGAAAATAAAACAATTCTTATAGATGTGCAAAGATTCTATGTTTCTAATATATTTTTATAACAAAGGAAGTTAACATTTCGGCATTGATTGATTCACATATGGAAACATTACTTATTCGTTCACCTGTTAATTATTCAAGATTAATATTAAAAGGAAGATCAATAATTTCATATGATGTAATATTTCATATTTTATAAAAGTATAACTCAAAGCACAACAAAAACGATTAAAATTACAGCTCAAAGTTGTATAAAAAATTCAGTAGTTTTCATGAAAATTTTCGAGTTTTTAATCAGGTTTTTTAGAAAATTTTAATTTAAAGTGCGGCGAAAATAACGCTGCTTAAACTTGCACTTTATTATACAACAATTTATCGAGCTGAACAAAGTTTTTATAAAAAATGTATTTGCATGTTTCCAAAATGTACCTAATGTATGTACGTAAGTCGAAAATACCTATTGTAATGTAATGGAGCCTTGGTGTATTACTTTGGACAGACATCCACAAGACGGATCACAGGATGAAAAATTTAATGAAATGCATTCCAACGCACAGGGCATCGTTGAGCCAACGACAACATGAAATCAGAGTCCAGCGGCATTTACAAAGCATCCAATTATAAAAAGTATCTAGTTCAACAATTCACAACGTATGTACATATTTCTGATTAGTTAAATAAATCACGCCCCTTCACGTTTGATCATGTAATAGATGGAATATTGCATCATCGCAAACTGATGTTGAGGGTGTTTCCTCTTGCCTTTATTAGGATGACTAATGAAGAAGTCCTCAAAAGGTTTGCTTAACTATTTATTGGTTCTAGATTTTAAACAGGAATTATATTAAAAAGTGGCAGAAATAATAATTGTTCAAGATATTTAACCTTTTTGAACTTAAATAAATAAATTTTGCAGTCCATTCTGGTTAGGGATACTCCCAGGGTTGTGCGCATCGTTGATTTTAGGACAAGTTAATTTGTGTATTGATTTTTTGGATCGTCTTCATCGGTTATTGGTTTTCTGTGCGTTATATATGTCCTTTTTATGATTAATATATATTTCTTTAATATGTATGATAAAGATATTTCTGAATTCGAACACTGTTTTGTATCTTTAACCGACTTTAAACTTTTTTTTAATCAAATTAGTTATACAAGTTTTGATATATAAAAGAAAATCGCTATACAATAAGAAGTAATTTGGAGGATCTTTTTAATACAGAAACGTTAATAGGCAGATTCAATTTCAATGTGATAACGTAGAATCGTCGGTTCGATAGCAACATTTCTGCGTCTTACTGTTCAACGCTTCATGTATTGTTGTTTGTATGTTTTTTGTTTGTGATAACTGTATTTAGAATTTATGTGTACAAGTTAACAGTAGGTTTTGCCTTTCAATTAAATTACAAATATAAACAAATTTCCAAATATGCAGTTGGTCATATTGTTGGTTGGACTCATATGAAGAAATCGAATTAAACTAATGGAAAAGTACTGATTTAATTGAGGATGCAATTGATATCCTCTTTCTGAAATCAACTGAGTAAACAATGACTAAGAAATAAAGTTGCAACTGCAAAACAACTGCAGCTGGAATAAATAATGAAACTGAATAAGTTCAATAATGAAATTCCAAAAGAACTAATTTGAAGTTATAACTAAAAATCATGTAAACATAATTTTAAGCTATAAATAAGATTCTTTTTGAATAAAGACCAGCTTGGTTTCAGTCTTGCAAGAAGACGTATGTTTTAAATTATTTTTAAAACATACAGCGGATTCACCCAAAGTTAATTCGCGCCCAACATGGCCGCCCGCGATAAGTATCGGTCAAGTAACAAGTATCCTCGCCGGAGGAGAAAAGATAAAACAAACTTTAAAATAAGTATCCTCACTGGAGGAGAAAAAAAGTGAAAAAATCCCCATATAAAGTATCCTCACTGGAGGAGAAAAGGAATAAAAAAAAAAAACAAACAACACAGTGGTAGCGGAGATAGATTGGGATATAGCAACAGTGGCAAGAAGACCGACAAATCGATAACAACAGTGACAGCAACAAGGAAGTGAAGCAACGAAATTAATGTAAGAATTATTTAATTTTATATTATATTTCAAAAAAAAAATTTTCAAATGACAGACGCTCTACCACCTGACTTAGACTACGATGAAATAAATAGAATTGTAGAAAAATTGGAAAAAGAAGAGAATTCTGATGAATTCAAGGAAAAGGTTTTTAGAGAAAGGGATCTTTTTGATGAATGTGGTGATGAGGGAAGAATAAAGTGTATGGAAGCCTTATTTAAATATATAGAAAAGGATAAGAAAGCCACACTAGTAGATTATTATAACAAAGAGACATTAGAATCAGAAACGGTAGCAATGATTCGGCTTGTAAAGAAAAGTGGTAAATTTTAAAATGGGACAAAATCAAAGTGGTCGAAAATATGAAAAATTATACTATTGTGATTATTGTGAAGGAAATCATAAAACTGGAAAGTTTCCTTACAAAAAAAGGTGTCGTTAATTAGTGAATTGTTTAAATATAAATCTGGATGGGTTAATAAAAAACTTTTCAAATATGATTTTGAATAATAAGAATGAGGCTCTAGTTGCAAGATTAATTGCAGCAACGAATGCATCACTCAGACTAGAGGTGTCTGAATTGCGAAGGCAAATTGAGGGATTAACAAAATCAGTAACCATAACTGATTACAGACCAGAAGTGGTCGACTCTCAAATTAACTGTGATGAATCACTGGAGGTTATAAAGTCCTTACCAGAATTTCCTGGTAAGCAAAATAAATATTTTAGCTGGAGGGAATCAGCTAATAATGCCATGAGCTTATATGTGCGAGGCAGCCGTAGGTATTTTGCTGCACTAACAATTTTACGAAACAGGATTACCCAAGACGCGAACGATTTATTATCAAACCATGGGACAGTTCTAAATATTGACGCCATTCTAGCGCGACTAGATTTCGCTTATGCTGACAAAAGGCCTGCCCATATTATTGAGGAAGAGGTGAGCATTTTGCGCCAAGATAGCAATATTATTATTGAGTTTTACAATAAGGTTAACGAAAAATTAACCCTACTTATAAATAAGACGATTATGACATACAGATCAGACAGTGCAGTGACCAAAGAGTTAAATGCTAAAAAAAAAAAGCGCGACGCTTTACGAATATTCATTACTTACTAAAATGCAGATATGGATGGACGCTAATGGAGTAGAGATCACTCCTCTACCCGTATGGATTTATCAAATGCTAGATATGTAATAAAGTATAACAATAACATTTAAAGAAACTTTTTTATTTATTTTATTTTTGTATGAAGAAAAAAACGTAAGTGTTCACAAATCAAATACCGCGCCATTTAGCGCAGTATATAGTGG